GGAGTCAGCGGTTTTTCAGACGTGATCACGTTGTGCGCGGCATCGGTCGGAAGGGGACGCGGGTTAAAGATGGGATCCTCGTCAGCGAAAGGCACCCCCTCTTCTGGCGCTTCCGGTGGTCGCACACGTTGCCACAGCAGGCGGAATGCAGCGAGTTCTGCGGTCGCGATTAGCAGAAATCATATGGCATCGTCGTTAACAGACGGACTAGTTCCACTGGCATATGCGGCCGCCCCGAGAACGCGCAACACGCGACTACGCACAACAGGATCCGTCTGCGGGGCAACCAGCAGGTCTTCTAGGCTGTCCAAGAACTTGTGGCTCGTACAGGCATATAGTAACGCGCCGGAGGCTGACTTGAGCAGCAGGGCCCATAGCTTGTGTGCATCGTTAGAGAGACGGTACAACCAGATCTGGAGATCCAGGACCCACCTGTGCCGCAACGAGCTGAGCAGAAGGTGCCCCGAATCGGAACTCGTAGCGCAACGCTCGCACTGCTTCACGTGCCGACTCGTCGGACGACGATGCCAGCCCGCACACTTCCTGCATCGCAAGCCAGTCGTCAGAGCATGTGGCTGTCAGCCGTCCTGCACCAGACCGCTATCAATCTGGGTCCATACACACCGATTTCATTTCGCGACGCACCAATCTTCCGCGTGAGCTCTGTGACCGTTCTACTACTGCTGGCAGTGGAAGCCATGGAGGATGTCGAGGCGACGGATGCTTGCTTCGTGATCTGAATCGGCGTGGGTGGTACAACCGGAGACTTGGCGTCCTTCGCCTTTTCTTTGCCTGCAGTCTTCCTCCCCCGTTCTTGGAGCTGGCTCGTGATATAGCGCGCAGTGACGCGGACACGGTCTACCATCTCAGGGACTTTGCTCGGGAGAACAGCGGATGGGATGTCGGGTGACTGCCCTGGCAGTTGAGCTGGAACGGCAGTTGAGCCCGCAGACGACGAGGGGGGTTGGTCCAGCTGCAACGAAGACACCGATGACCAAGTCACGAAGTTCCGGACGGGTGCCGAGGCTCCAGGTGGGAGGTGGTCCTATTGGGAAGGGGGGAGTTTCAGACGACGGGATCGACTAGCAGGTCTTAGGATCAAACGGTAATAGCGCGACATATAGCCCACTCACTGATCCCACGCGCGCAACCTACCTTGATATCCTCCCGGTTCTCATCGCCGTCTCCCTCGCGCCCGCGTGCCTCCTTGACAGGGGATCCACGCAGATCAACAGTCACTTCCGAATCCAATTCTCTCAGCGAAGCGAACAGCATCCTGAGCCCCTCGTCGAGCGACGCATCGAGCCTGCACCGCACGGAAAACGCAGGTCAGTGGGGGCAGGGTGGATCCCGGGGATAGGTACGTGCGATAACACCCGCGCTGCCGCTAACGCCTGCAGCTCTCGATCTCCGTGCTGCCGTCCATGGCCTGGGTCCGAGTCGGCTCTCCGCGCAAGCTGCTGCAGACGGAGGTTGCGGAGGTACTTCGGGACGGCGATCTGCACGGTGGGGATCGTGTTGGTCAATGACACTGGGCCGGGGAGGCAGCTCGCGCTGTGCTCCCCCATGTCAGTCTCGAGGTGGGTCATGATCATGCGAGATGTCGAGGCGTTCTGATTGATTATAAGCTGTACACCTGATGTGAGCGGTAGCATGGGAAAAGGACGGGGTACCGAGATCACACACAGGCCTGCACTTGCCGCAGAGATGTTTGAACCCAATGTAGATCGGATTCAAATCGTGTTCTGGGTCCTGGGCACTGTCCTCAACAGGCTCATATCGTGATTCTGTGATTCCGCGAATGAGGATGGCCAGACGAATATCGAAACGAGCATCAACCGGTAGGGCTTTGCGTCCCGCGGAGGGCCCGGGGAACAAGCAATCGGATGTTTCACGGCTGGCGGGCCGGAGCAGAAGCGATTACGCACGCGAGAGACATGTGATTCTCACGTGACACACTCATTTTATCTAACAGTTTACTCTGCTCAGTACACAAGTACGAGGCAATGGATTCTCATCACCTATGTATTGATTACAAGCACGCACTTGAATAAAGATAAATCCGACTACATTCGCTTCGCGCCAATCCGGGCCCAGTACATCTCTTCTCGCAGCCGCACCAGCTCCTTCCAGGTGCGTTCCTCCCAGGTGGCGTCGCCCACATACACTTCGTCATCCTCTTCGTCGTCCTCCTTCTCCTTTTCGGGAAGAGGTGACTCTGAGCGCGCCAGGTCCCCGTTCAACACGGGTTGGGATGCAGGGGGTTCTTCGGTTGTTGGCTTAGCTTCCACTGGTTCCGCGGCAACAATGTCAGACTGCACTTCCACTGCTGCTACCTTGGGTGGCGCATCAGCGGGCTCAGCTGGGGGCGCTGATTCTGTAGTCGGAGGGGCGGGAACGGGCCGTCTAGCGGCAGCTCTCCTCGGAAGTGGAGGGGGAGCAGCCGGCTGGGCAGCTGGTCCTGACGATTCGACGACAGCAGTCTCAGCTGCAGGGGTTTCGGCCATTGGAGTGGACGGTCTCGAATCAGGGAGGGCAATCTGATGTGCAGACATTCGTTTCAGCGAAGCCACTGGCGCTGGTGGCTCTTCAGTCTGCTCTGCCGCCGCCGCTTCCGCCGCCGGTTCTGTGGCTGGAGGCACTGTTGGATTCGCCGGCTCCTCAGCAGCAGTCTGCTCCATCGGTGCTTGTTCAACCGGCGCCTGCTCAACTGAAACCTCCTCAACTGAAGCCTTCTCCACCGGTGCCTGCTCAACCGGCGCCTGCTCAGCCACTGTTTCCTCCACCACTTCCACTCGCTCGGCCGGTGGTTGCTCCACAACACGTCGAGCAGGAAGCGGTGGTGCAGAGCTCACCGGGAGAGACGACCGCCGGCGCTCCTCGTTCCGTTTCGGCAAAGGGGGAGCCGAGGTCGGGACTACCGCAGTCGGTGGAAGCGGCTTTTCCTCGACTTTCTTCTCGCCGCTCCAACTCCCCAGCTTCGTAGCCATGCCCCAAAGTCCTTTCCTGCGCGGGGGAATCGGTGGCGCCGCCGCTGCGTTGGGCTCGAGTGCAGTTTGCGGGATGTTCGGCACTTCCTCCTCCCAAACTCGTTCGACGATCCCCGTGCGAACAAAGGACCATAGAGTGCACGTGGTGCGCAGGCGTGCAAGACACCAGCCGGACGTGCAGAGCGGGTATATAGTCGTCGACGGCGCCGCCGACTGCGTCAACGAGTTGAACGACAGATTGCTTAGGCTTGACGCGGCAACAGCAGCAGCAGCAGGTGGAGGTGTGGCACGCGACGATACGCTGGGCAAGAACGGTGACGGGCTGGCGGTGCGAGTCGGCGGGTTCATCGGTTGGGGCGGTGGAAGTGGTGTCGCGATCCGGAAGATGTAGATTTGCGGTGGGTAGGGTGCTCCGTGTTCGGAACTGGGTCGAGAGACACTTGAGGTGCCGGTGTACGACAACGTCTTCTTGATCACTGACGTAGACCATCCGCTGTTCCCGTGCAACGATGGATGCGTGGGTGGCTTTGCATAATGCGGGGGAAGCTCTGGATTGGAAAAAATGGGGGTTCCACACAGCGCGCAAGAGATGTTGTTGTTACTGCTGTTGACACCGGGGATGGTGGGTGCTCCAGCAGAGTTGGATTCAGCCAGCATTGCACCGGTGGCCATGGGTTCAATTGTAAGTTGCCCTGCATGGATTGCGGAAAGCACAGATCGCCGAGATAGCCAATTGAGAGACGGCGCCAAGTCGAGACGCATAGTTGGCTCACTGTAATACTTCGTTCACGTGCCATTGGAAGAAGAAAGGTAACACTCACGAGTCTTCATTTGAAAGGCGGGAAAGAAACGCCATTGGAAGAAGAGTTGTCATCGCCGGTGGGTTGGCCAACGACGAAGGATGAATGCTTCGCAGATGCGCGACAAACAAAAGGAATTCTTGATACGGCAGATGGGAGCTCATCAGCTTCACAGAGCTGGGGGGCCTGTCCTGAATCTCCCAGTTTCTTCGGGAGCCATGCTCGGCATTGTCTTTTTCATCCTGCAGCCTCTGCATCTGAATTTGCATCATGCCGACCATCTCCTCCGCGCCTTTCAGCGCTGTCTCGGAAGCTTCGACCCTGCGGTCCGCCAGCGCCTGAGCATACCGGGCTTCTGCGACCATCGTGTTTGCTTGCGCGAACAGCGTCGCACTCAAGTCGTCCAAGTCCTTCTCGATGTCCGCCTTGGCCGTCTCCGCACGCCCCCTCCGCACGGCCTCCTCCGTCGCCTTTTCCATCAGGCGAGTGAGCTCCGCCGTCACCTGGGCCTTCTCCACGAGGAGCCCGGTGTTAAGCGCGGACAGGTGCTGCGTGCGCTCGAGCTCGAGCTGCGCGATCTTGAGCGACGTCTGCCGCGCCTGGGACGCAGACATGTGCGCGTCGTCTTCGAGGTCGGAGACGCGGTCATAGGATTTGACGAGCTTCCCATTCAGTTGCGTGACTTGGGAAAAGAGGTCTTGAATTTGGCCCCGGAGGGACGCGATCAGCATCTCCTGCGCATCCGAGTCCTGATGTTTATGGAAGATGCCATTAGACGAAGGAGATGACGCCGACTCGGGTTGGGGAGACTCGGTAGAGGCCATGACTTCGTTCTTTGTCTACACGATGAGCGATTGTGTGTAAACGAGAGCATGTGGCGGTACATACCTCTTTTGCGGAGTTGCTACAACTAGAAAAAAGGAAACGGAATAGAGTCTCGGTGCACTACTACACGCCAACGTGTCCAAGGACCTAAGCTTCGGACCGCTCCAAATGAAAGTGTCCTGTAATGCGGCTGGGTATACGGCGTTTACGGCGCGCCTTTGTTACAACGTGGTGCAACAGAGGGTTCACGTTTGGCTGTCCTAGTCTGGTTCTCCGATGTCGTCACAGACGGACTGTGAAGATGCTCGTCGCAATTTCAATTTGTCCGAGCGTGGTGTGATGGCCGGGTGGGGCGGATCATAACTGAGTAGCGCGTGCCTTGGCAGGCGGCCATTCCCTCTAACCAGGTTACTCACTCGCGGGAGGGCCGATCCGAGACACATGGTGCCTTGAACTAAGAAAGACAAGGTGCTCGCCGGCTTATAAATACGGATGTAGCATCGAAGGCTCACGGACACTGGCCAACCATTCCCAGCGCACACCTCCCACGCCTCTTTCATGTACCGATAGCCGTAGCCTGAGCTTGCACAGAGGACCAGCGTGAAAAGGTACCGGACTAGGTGTAACAGCCGCTTGACTCTTGAATCCCGACAGGGTTGGAACGACGCGACTCCAGGTGCGTAGCAGCGATTTGAGCGCCCGATGCTCATTCATGAAAGCGCAGACGATCCGTGCTCAGCGAAAGCGAAGCAGTTTCGCCCTGGTAGGATCCGACTGCTCTCCAACTGTCCGGCAGAAAGTCTCTTGTTTCCCCGCACCGTCTCCTCCTCGGACTGACCGTCGGCAGAACTCACCATGGGAGTTTTTGACGCTCTCCACAACTCGAGAACTTCGCACCGCTACGTCCTTTGCTGCATGCCTTGTGAAACGCTCCGGCGGCCGGTGGCGAATCGTGGGCTATCGACGATGCGCAGCGTTTGCCTCACTTGCGCGCCAAACTCGAGACCACAGCCAGCCAGTCGATCCACGCACCGCAATCGCTGTTGTGCCAGGTGTGCGCGGGTCCTATAACGTTTGCGACGTGGATCGAGCCGGGATGCCCATGCAGTCGTACCCGGCCTCGTGTAAAGCAAGGCATGACTGCGACACTCATCCTGCTCGACCCTGTGGATGCACGGGAGCGTGCCGCACATCGCGCGCAAGTGCTACCGGTTCTTTTGCCAGTGGAAGCGTATTGCAGCGATCAGCAAGTGAGATCTCCTTCCCCGCAGTTTGTATATGCCGAGCGGTATCCAGGACGCCTGCAAATTCCGACATGCGTCTTCGAAGCAGGGAGAGACATGGAGCCGGGGTGTCCCCTGTGGAGCCGCGCGCGACACAGAGCTTGTAGTTGTTGAAATCTGAGTGGATTCTCCCGGAAAGGGTCGGAACAGCCTCACCGTGAGAGTTACCCTCGCCTCGAGTCGCGTGAAACTGACCACTGCGATAAGATGCTGATTCTATGCCTGTTAGAGCCGCACCACGCGCTACAGGCCTGGCGCGTTCAGTCCTGCCTATAAAGCCGCCAGGATATTCGCACCAAAACACCTCAAAGCTTTTCGTTCACTCGCGCCCTCGTACTCTGCCTTCTCAATGGTTGAAAAGACTGGATCCTTCGTGGAAAAGTCTGCATTTGCGATCTCCGAGAAGGAGGCATACTGGTACCAACGCCGAGTCTTTCTGCAAAAGGCGGGCTATCGTCTGCGCCCGAAATTCCATCCCGATTTCGTGGGTCCAATCGGTGATCAGATTGCGCAGCACCCCGTGAGTCTCTCGCGCTTCTTTTGCTTGCTCGAACGGCTGTTGACCTAGTCTTCAGAAAAAGCATATCATGGATGCGGACCGGATATATGACGGTCAGCAAGTCATGCTCAAATGCATTTCGAAGCGGAAGTTCCCGCACGAGGTCGAGATCGGCCAGCTTTTCTCGACAGATGCGATGGCCAAGAACCCCCGGAACCGCTGTATCCCGATCCTAGATACACTCGACGATCCATATGATGGGGACAAGCAGATCATCGTTATGCCGCGACTCATACGATTCGATGAGCCTTTGTTCGATACCGTCGGGGAGGTCGTAGACTGCTTTCGGCAGTTGGCTGAGGTGTGTGTCAATGTCTATCTTGCTGGATCCCCATTTGACACTCAGCAGGGACTCCAGTTCTTGCACGACAACTTTGTCGCACACCGGTACGTCGCTGGACTCCAGTCGCACGAGCAAACCTGACTTAACGAAAACGCAGTGATCTGAGCCTGCTCAACATCATGCAAGACCCCTCGCGTCTCTTCCCACGCGGCTTTCACCCGGTCAACTACTGTCTGAATCCAACCAACGACGGGCTTGCATATTGCATCACCCGCACCGAATGCTGGCCCCAGTACCACATCATAGATTTCGGTCTTTCTAGACGATACGATCCAGCCCACGGACCTCCGCACGAAACAGTCGTGCCCGGTGCCAGTGAAGTCACGCCCCCCGAGTATGCCAGCGGCCAGTGCAACCCCTTCCCGGCTGACATCTACTGCCTCGGAGATCTCTTCAAGCGGCATTTTAGGGTGCGTTCCACAGAGGTGCACATGTTTCCCCACTCCTCGCCTTCGGTTGACAAAGCTCACGCCGGTCGTCTACAGGCTGGTGGACACGTTCCTCTGGCGTTTTTGGCGCCGATTGTGGACGCGATGACGCAGAAGGACCCCGCCATGCGGCCTACCATCGGCGAAGTCATCGCCCGCTTCAACGATGTCTGCTGCCGACTGGGCTCGTGGGACCTGCGCAAGCCGGGCCAGATGCTCGACTGGCCCGCGTGGATAGACCAGCGGCTGCGACAGCTCAAGAACATCTTCAAGGGCAGACGCCCGCTGTCGTCGCAGTGTCTCTTGTCGCTGTCGACCCCCAAACGGACTAGTAGTAGTAGTAGCACCGCTTTGAATTCGCGTATGAGGACTTTCTACACCCGGACTCCCAAATCTGCAGGAAAGCCACGGTCGCTTGCGAAGCTCCGTTGACTCTCCTGCAGGCCCAGTGATCTGTTACTTATCCAGCTATGCTCCATGTATTTATGACTCATGTTGTAACTTATGTATGTACCATGCATAACATATTCACGAACGATCTACTTTCACTGGGCATAATGGTAGAAAGACGGGAGTTGTTCTCGATCCACAGAGCCAGCATCAGCCGCAAATGTCGACCCCAGCAGCTCCTTCCTCGACCCTCCGCTCGCTCCCGAGTAAGTCGAAGCGCTGTCAGCACGTGTCGGCAAGGGTGGAGCCTCCGGATCGACACCTCCCCTCCATCTTCGCGCAGGAGAAAGAGCCTGCGACTTGCGTCGGGATAGGCTGACTGCCCGCGAGAGTCCACCCGCCATGGCCTTGTAGTCTTGCAACACTTGGCTCCCCGTCCCAAAGAAGAGAAAGAATATGACACTGCTGAGCGGGACAGCCCACCAGAGGATGTAGGTGAACGCGACATCCGACGGGCTTAGATCCGAGTTTTTGAATTGGCCGATGAATTCGAAGCCGGCGTGGACAAAGGGCCAGCTGACGTACGGCTGAAGCCCGCCGATATATGCGCTGACCGCGCTGACGGCGACCAGAATGGTGTTCCACAGCCCAAGGAGCAGTGTCAGCCCCATCAGACGCATGTAGCGGGACGGCGTGAGCGACGACTCGGTCGTTTCCAGGAAGACACGGAAGGATTGTCGTCTCTGATATAACTTGGGTATTGCCATGCCACAGCATAGGAGTGCACCAGCAGCAGGCAAAAATGCGGGTAGATCAAGGATGAGGATGGACGGCCAGGAGATGTAAACTGCAGGGAGGCATCCGATATTCTCGATGATATCGAAACGGTGGCCTTGAACGACGAGATCTGCTCAACTCGTTCATGCAATTAGCGGTCCAATTTGAGGCGGGACGCACGGAGAGCCATTATCAGAACAGGAATGCCCCAGCAGAGCAGGATATCTGGCATCAGATACCTCCACCCCGGCGGCGACATTTCTTTTCCTTTCGCTATCCGCAGCAAACGGCGTGCCAAGCACAAGCAGCATCCAGGGAGCGCAACGTCCGCGCCAATCTTCAGTTTCGTAGCTATAATCCCTCCAGAATCTAGCTGAAATGAGACAGGAAACGAAGCTCACCAAGATCGCACCAAGTTGCCGCCTGGATGTCGTCATTGCCATTCCAGATGACAGCGTTGACGCCGTACATCATGTTGTACACGAAAAGCCAGGCGATGATCGAGAGCGTCGCGATGTTTCCCACCCGCCAGTGGTGAGGAAGAGTGGCAATCACGAGGGAGCTCGCGAGGAAGGGCGCGATTTCGAGTGCCCAGTTCGTCATGCAGTCCAAGAAGTGGTAATGCGAGTCGGGAAAATGTGAATGGAAAATGTGAATGGAAAAGACAAGCAAGAATAACAGAAAAGGGGGGTATGAACAAGAAGGAGAAGAACAGAAAAACCAAGAGCGTGAAGCCAGAAAGTGAAAGGGAAAGCGGCAACACGCTCAGGTGCGCGGTGACACACATCCGAGGTCGGCGGGCGACGGGCCCATCACTGGTTCCCATCGATATGTTGCAGATGAAAGTGACATACATAGCGTGATCTGAACGGAGACTGAGACGTGTGTAGGTAGCGGCACATCAGAGCGCATTTCCGAGTCGGGCAATGAGGGACGGAAGCTGAGAAGGCAATGATGCAAGTCGGTGCCGCGAGTGATCATCTCAGGTGGCTACGGAATGCGTGTTCTAGCTTGAGCGGGCATGCCAGCATTTCAGATGTATGGTTTATTGCGGGATTGGCAGCCCAGGCCAGCAAAGAGAAAGAGAAGAAGGGTGCGCAGCTCGAGCCCGCCATCGGAGAATTCCGAGGATCTCATCCCACGTGACCCATATTCTGCTGGTGCAAACTTCTGTCTGCTTCCGATTGAAATCTGAGAACAGCCGCTATAACATTCTCACATCTTTCTCTGAGAACTTTCTACGCAAATCCTGTCCATTGTTTGCCGATTTCTGTCGACCGAGTACATTACTAACTTACTATCCTGAAAAGATTGGTTGAAGTTTTGAGATGACTTGAAAATGTCGGGAAGAAGAGTGGAAACTTGCGCGATATACCTGTACTCAACTTGACTGCGACAAAGTAGTCCCGCTAAGTTGAATTGGTCAACGGTCGACGGGGGTCGCTGCCTTCCTTTTGCTCGAGTCTGATCTCATTTGAAGACTAGAACATGGTCTGGTTTTGAATGAAGCGTCTGGTTTCAAGGGCCCATTTCCTAATAGTCCTATAGTAGTATACTCGGAACAAAACATGCTTAATGATCCTTCACTAAGAAAGGCAACGACCTTTCCTTTTCGGGCCCCAACGCGTCAGATCACGCCATGTGACATCGCGCGATGCAGTGTCACTCTTGCTCGCAACCATGCGCGAAGCTGCTCCGACCTCGCTCCCGCAAGTCAACCTTGAGACGATCGGCGTGGCAAAATGCAAGCAGTGCGGCCGCGACTCTTCCTTCGGATACAAGCGCTGCGCGGAATGCCGCGCCAAGCGGGCGGCGACGGCTCGACGGGCTGCTGAGCGCAAAAAACGCGCCTTGCTGGAGCAGACCTCGGCCCTGAAAGACGCGACTCCGCGCGAAAGCGCCACTTCGGCACTGGCACTCGTGCTGCCCCCGTTTGATGGTGGGCGGAAGCAGAAACTGGAGCCGATGGCACAGGCCCCGGCTCTGAAAGACGCAACTCCGCGTGCGAACGGCGCTTCGGCATCGCTCCCTATCCTGCCCTTGTTCGGCGGTGGGCGGAAGCGGAAACTTGAGCTAATGACAGAGACCGAGGACGCGATAGAGCGAATAAAGAAACGGTTCAAGGGAGACGACCCATTTTTCAAGGCGAAGGCACGTCTTCTTCCAAAGCTGCGCCATCTATTGACTCACACGATCAAATTTTCCTAGTCATACATACCGGTCGAGGTGAGAAACTGATTCGAGCAGTTGGACCTCCAGGTATTGATCATGCGGCGCGCAGAAGAAGATAGACTCGTTCGAAAAGTTCGCCGGTTCCTCTGATGTACACAAATTCATCAAGCTCCGCTATCCGGCTACTGGAACCGGTGTCTCCCTTCGATGCACTTACGCTCTCGTTGCCGATCCGGCTGTAGACCACAAAGCCCGCGCGGGCTTAGTTGCTCAAGAGTTGAGGCAGAAAACGTCGTTGTCATTCGGGTACAATCTAGTCGCTGTTCTTTCTCCTGTGGCGTCTCTGACCACGTCCCTCAGCACCCTAGTCCATCATAAATATCGCACATCAACCTCGTATACTCTCGTTATGAAGTGCACTTGCTCTCCCCCGGGAGAAATCAAGCGCGCCAGCAGTGACATTTTCCTCCACTTTGCGGCTTTGTCAAACAAGATGCATTCGTCAGTCAAGTCAGGCTCATCCATAAACGAATGCTCCGGTCGAGTGAAGATCCGCGTCGAGGAAGACAAATCCCATCCTCGCTGGATCGGCCAGCGAGTCAAAATCTTCATCGATCATCCGCGCTGACTGGAAAACCTCTGAACGCCGCATACGAATGTCATACATATCCTACATTACCCAATGTTCCTTGCTACTTACCTGTACCGTACCGCCTGCCCATTACTTGCTATGCTTTTGCACGAATCGCACTATCTCCTCGACGACCCGCTCGCTCTGCTCCTGTTGCACCCAGTGCCCCGCCCCCTCGACGAGAACGAGCGCGTCGAAGTGGGCGCACGCGGACTCGCGCATCGCTTCGACACCGCCGGGACGCTGGTACGTCCCCCAGTCCTCTTTGCCCGCGAGGAACATGGCGGGAACGACGATCTGCATCCCCGCAAACAGCTCGAGATCCGCCTGCCAGTCACGGCTGGTCATGACTCGGTAGGAGTTGAGACCGCCCTGGAATCCTGTGCGCGAGAACTCCTGCACATAGAAGTCGAGGTCGTCTTCCGGGAACCACGAGAGATCGTCCTCCGACGGCTGGTACGGGCGCACCGCCTCGGGCATGGACGCGTGGAGAGGCATCACGTAGTAGTCTGGCAGCGACGCGAGTGCAGGAACCAGCGGACCCGACAGCGATTCCGGGGCGTTTTCTGTCCAATCAGCGCTCTTGACGTAGAAGTAGTTCCGCAGAAAGGAGCGCAACCCTTCCGGGGGATAGATCAGATCTTTATTGGCACGGTCGGTGCTGAAGTACAGCATATAGTGCTTCCGAGGAGGATTTAGTTCAGCCAACGGACCAGCGAGAGCGGAAAAGTCGCTGGATGTGGGTGAAGGAGAGAGGGCTGGAGGACCCGCAAACGGAGCACTCATGAGCACGACTGACTGGAAGACATCAGGCCGAATGAGAGCGCAGTAGGCTGCAACGGGCGAGCCGTAGTCGTGTCCCACGACGCCAGCGGTAGATCGGTACCCGAGAGCAAACACAAGCCCAAGAACGTCTTTGACCAGATTCGTGATCCGGAACGGAGAGAGATCGTCCCCGTAGTCGACCCTCCGCGCAGGCGAGTCGCGGGAAACGGTGCGCCCGTAGCCCCGCTGGTCCGGCGCCACGACATGGTATCCCGCGTCCGCCAAAGGCCCGATCACTTTGCGCCAGGAGCTGAAACACCGGCATGTGAGTCAAGACGCGGCGAACAAGAGCAGGCTGGGATTACTAGGCCAGTTCGGGGAAGCCGTGCAGGAGAACGAGCAGAGGAGCGTGCTCCACTCCTTCTGGGAACGCTTCCAGAATGTGCATGTCGAGGTCTCCGACGGCTATAGACCGAGACTGGATGTCTTTCGCAGTGATCATGCTGGTAGATGGCAAGACAGCTTCTTCCAACACTCGAACGGAATGATCCATCTGTCATCCCAGGCGGAACCGGATGATATACTTGGCTGAACATTCACACACATGCATAAGCAGAACAAAAAGGCAAATGATTCCGCGACTCCTCGGCACTACGATTCGCGGGACCTCATCGAGAAAAGCTTGTTTCAAAATTCAGAATCTTATCCAAGAGCGGTTGGCAGTCTTTTCGGCTAGGATTGAGTCCTTGGACGATTTGACAGGCTGGACTTCGAATACACGCCAATCTCAGATTGATGCGTTGAGATGCTCCAGTGATGCAAACACGGCTTCGAGATTTTAGTGAGCGAAGGGACTGGGAATGATAATATGGTGGCAAATAGCTGGGACTTGAAGGAGGTTGAATGTTACTGGCAACAAGGAGTGAGTGGCAGTGCTGCTCGGATCACAGGCATTAGTCATTGGTACGTGGCCACTACGAGTCTCTGGACACCTCTCGCCCTTTATGTCGCAGCTGCGAGCGGATCTCCCTTCGGAATTGTGGCTCTATATCCAGAGGCTCGCCACCGCCTATTATTCGCCTCTGAATATCGCGTATGACAGTGACTTTGTGTATCGATATGATCGTGCTGTGAATCCATTTGATCTCATACGTCCTTTCCATCAGGTCTGTACATGCATAGAAATCAAATTCAAGCTGACTCATGTGCACTTACAGGATGTGAGATCATTCTCCCTCGTCTCCAGCTCTTGGAATCTGCTGGCCGCTGAGCTACTTTACGAAAGCATCTGTGTCAATCGCTCCACTCAGTCACTAAATCCTATCCGCCCAACGATGTGGCATTTCACGTGATCGGTTAGTGCTGTTGCCGAAGGCCGAAGGCACATGACCGTGCTGACTTGTCAGTGTCAAGAGTTGGGACGCGCTCGTCTCCAGAGCACACAAGGTTTCTTCCAGCATCTACAGACTCTCTAATTGTTTTTTTTTGAATATCTTGCAATTCTCTGCCCTGCCGGGGAGCCGTCGACCGAAAACTCACACTGTATGCATTGCCAGAAATGTATCAGCATTCTCAGTGGATTTGAGCAGTGCAGTTTGTCTTAAATTTCTATGTTATATTTATGTATACGACTGCCAGATCTTGTAAATGAAAGCCCATGAGCTATCTCTTGTGATTTTGATTTTTGATTAGATGAGCTTGGGGTCACTCTTTAGAGAGGATGACCCATGTATTTAGGTCCAGGATCCTGAAAAAGCTTTCAAATTCACCCCCCTGACTGGTCCAATTCATTCGGAGTCCAATCCCGTGGGATTTGTCTCTGTCTCTGCGAGACTTTCATCGCAGTGTCGGACGAGTTTTGGGCGCGTGGATGGTCATGTGACCCCGGACCGTACGATCCGTCTCACGTGCAATGCCACATCGTTGGGCGGATAGGATTTAGTCACTCAGTCCAGCCTCTTCGCAGCCCTCCGCAGAGCAGGTGTATCGAACCTTGTGCGCGCCGTGAGTATCTCCGAACCAGCAGACCTGGATTTTTATTGTGCCCTTTTCACGCTCTGTCCGCGCCTCGAGGTGCTCGTCCTCCAGCATTCCAATGATCACAGCACGGCTTTGGATATAGATCTGATGACCATGACTCTGGGACGAAGCCTCATTCTCCCCCAATTACGCTTCGTTTTCTGGAATCGCTTCGCCGCACCAGATGGGCTTCTGGATCTGGTGCTGCAAGTCTCCCCGAATGTCCAGTCTCTTTTCTCCGACGGCAGTCGGGAAAACACAAACGGGCTGATGTTCAACACGTCACGGGGCCATGCACCCGGTCCGCTTTCTCTATCTTCCCTTCGAAGACTTGAAATTCGCAGCTCTCGAGACGACGTGACCCTTCCGCTCTTGCTTTCTCTCGGATGCGAGCATACACTCACCCGATTGGGCATCCCCGTTCAACTGCTGAGGGAAGCCAACTTCCCGATCCTCCCACGCACAACAGTTCTCGAGCTCTTCGGGTCCCGCACGGCCATGGACTATCCGCGCGTCTCGCGCCTATTCCCCAATCTCCAAGAGCTGTGCTTCGATCTATGGAACGCTTTCGAGGGTCCTATGGCGCTGCCGCACGTCGCCGTGATCAGACTCCATTCTGTCGTGGCAATCGTGTGGGATTGGACCGCCGTCGAACGCACATTCGCGCTCTTCTGCGATACGGGGGAACTTCCGTGTATGCGGAGGATCGTGCTGTACAATATGTGGCATCGCATCGTCGGGAGTTCACAGCTCGCCCCGCTGCTACAGGCTCTCCGCAAGAGAGGGTGCGATGTCGAGTTCCCTCAGTATTGCATCTGCAACTGAGGTGTGGTGCTGCGAAATCGAAGCATGGTGATGGGATTATTCGCATGCTACACGGAACATCCACCGACCACTGGCAGAGTCAGCCTCGTATCAATAGATGATCTCGCTTTGAATCTAACTTTCCCAAATCGAACCAGCGGGACTGAAAACATGCGAGGACTGTATGCTTGGTCCGAATCCTTATTATTGCTCGGAGTGACATTATCGGCATTGCTCCGGTCACCATGCAAGAGAGCAATCACTTTCTTCGACGTAGAAGGGAGATCCTCCAAGTACCGGTGCTGGATAGTATGCCGCTTAATAGAAACGGTCGGACCAATAAGGACCCAATTATTCAGACCATTATAAACGCAATCGATGCACTATTTACAGAGGACGGGGGATACAGCGTCATCGCTGTGTGGACCGGATCACAACTCATAGACCGACAACATCCTCGAAGGTCGTGTTCGACAATTCCATGGAAGACATCGTCCATTATAAGATGCTGTTCCCGCTCAGGAGCAGTGCTTTCCCGAGCAGTTAATGCCCGGCGCACGGTATCGATCTGAGATTCTCCTATCTGAGAAATGCCATAAGAAAAAGTGGGAGAACAAAACGGACACGAGGAAACTCACACGTCTCTTTCTATGCAATGTGCGGTTTCCGCAGCGACGCCCCACCTGCATAGCCGTACTTGGCCATCAGGTCGGCGTGCGCCAGTTCGAGGCGCGTCATCGACGTGGACGGCGACACCGTCTCGCCAGCCTTGATCTTCTTGGAACCTTTGACAAGCTTGGGCTGGACGCACGGAACGCTCTGGCCGGCGATGCCGAACGACGACTGGAGTGCCGCAAGCGCAGCCTCGTAGTTTTTAGGGGAGGTGGGCAAAGTCGAGGATGTCGAGCTGGTCGCGGTGGAAGACATAATAGTTGGGATACTAGATGGGGCAGCTGAAGTCGAGTGACTCGAGTGGTGCGACTTTGTGTGGGTTGTGAGAAGAGCGGGAGGGGGTGAAGTTATATACGCGTCGGGATCGCAAAGCGCAGTTGCCTGCAGGTGGTGCGCGACAGATCCGCCGCAGTTGGCTAGGTCTGCACTCGGCCGCGGCGTACAAGCTGTTGTATGTTTTCCAGGCACAATCGGATACGAGAAAAGCCATAGCAGAAACACCAGCCAGTCCTGGCGAGTGCCGATAGGCTGACTGCGAGCTTGACGTCCTATGCACGTTTCATTAACACCCACCCAGAGCAGTGCACATCATTCATATGTGTTAAATCCCCATGACCTGGCGAATTCTTTGCGACCGAGTCCGACAGATGAAAAGTAGATAATGCAGGAAAGATCATTCACACACACACACACATGCATGGGCAGAACGAAGCCAAATAGCTCCCCGACTCCTGGATAAAATCATTCACAGGGCAGCATCGAAAGAACTGGTCTCAAAATGCAGAATCCTAGAGAGGAGGGGTTGCCAATTCATGGAAGATTGACAGGCCCATGTACGGATACGCACCAATCTCAGATGGATGCGGCAGTATGCTTGTAATGATGCAAATGAGGATTCGAGATTTCGATGGAAGAAGGGACTAGAAATGGACAACATAATGGCGAATAACTTGAACTGGAAGGTGGTTGAAATACTATCATTGACCCACTTCTGCAATCACTTTGATGGTGGCCTCGCTAGCTTGCATAACACACACCGAGAAAAATAAAATTGAGGATAATAAAGTTAGAGCCCTTGAGACTGTCTTCATGAAATTTACTCGCTATCTGTGCGCAGAGGATGAAGCCACGCAGTTGTAGTGGTTTGAGTCTAACTCACCATACTTGGCAGATCACATTCATCAGATATGCCACTGGCACGTGCCAGTGGCCGTTACCTCTCGCCGTTTATGTCGCAGCTGCGAGTGGATCTTCCTCCGGAATTGTGGCTCTATATCCAAAGGCTAGCCACCGCCTATCATTCGCCTCTGAATATCGCGTATGAAAGTGACCTCGTGTATCGATATGACCGTGCTCTGAACCCATTCGCTCTCATACGCCATTTCCACGAGGTTTGTGCATGCTTACCTTTCGAGGGCATTCTGGCTGATAAACATGAACAGGATGCGATATCCTTCTCTCTGGTATCCAGGTCTTGGAATCTCCTAGCTACTAAGCTATTGTACGAGAGCATCTGTGTCAGTCGCTTCACTCAGCCCAGCCTCTTCGCTGCCCTCCACCGAGCAGGTGTCTCAGATCTTGTGCGCGCCGCGGTTATCTCAGGACCAGCTGAAATTCATTTTTACCGTGCCCTGTTCACACTCTGTCCGCGCCTCGAGGTGCTCGTCCTCCAGCATTCCAATGATCGCATTATGGCTTGGGATGTAGATCCGATGACCATGGCTCTGGGACAAAGCCTTACTCTCCCCCAATTGCGCTTCATTTATTGGAATCGATTCGTCGCACCTGATGGACTACTGGATCTGGTGCTGCAAGTCTCTCCGAATGTACAGTCTCTCTATGACGGTATTCGGGGATATACCAGCGGGCTGATCCTCAAGGAGTCAAGACCCTATGCACCCGGTCCGATTTCTCCATCTTCCTTGCGAAGACTTGAAATTCGCAGCATTCGAAACGACCTGACCCTCCCGCTCTTGCTTTCTCTCGGATGCGAGCATACACTCACCCGACTGAGCCTCCCGGTGGATCTGCTGAGGGAAGTCGACTTCCCAGTCCTCCCACGTACAACAGTTCTCGAGATCTTTGGGTCCCGCAGGACCATCAACTGTCCGGCCATCTCGCGCCTCTTCCCCAGTCTCCAAGAGCTATGCTTTGACGTGTGGAACGCTTTCGAGGGTCCTATGACGCTGCCGCACGTCGCCGTGATCAGGCTGCATTCTGTCGTGGTAGACGTTTTGGGGGATTGGCACACCATCCAAAGAGCATTCACGATGTGTCTCGACAGGGGAAATCTCCCGCGTCTGCGGAGGATCGTGCTGTACAACATGTGGGATCGCACCGTCGAGAGTTCAAAGCTCGCTCCGCTGCTCCTGGCTATCCGACAGCGGGGGTGCGATGTCGAGTTTCCTGAGCATTGCGTCCGCAACTGAGGTGCAGCGGTGCGTAATGGGGCTGGATTGAAGCATAGCCATGAGATGATCTACATCGATGGCGCAGTCTCCAACGCTGAAAAAGCGAGCTCGCATCTGTGGCTGATCTCGCTCTGCACCCAGAATTTGTCCGGGATCCAGCCTACAGGACTACACTAGTCGTGACCTGAGTTCTGTATGCTTGGTCGGAATCTGCAGTGACGCTCGCAGTTACATGATGGACATTGCTTTAATCCGTCACTCAGGAAAACAATTCTTCGACGAGGACAGAGATTCTACAAGGACCAATGTTGGATGGGATGCCACTTATTAGAAGCGATCAGACTGACGAGCAACCGATTATCCGGATCAATGTGCAGGCAATCAAGCAACTATTTACAGAGGACATGGGACACCGCGATAACGCTGTGTAGACCGGGTCGGAGCCCATGCACCGACATCCTTCGGAGGCCCTGTTTGACGATCCCATAAGAGACATCGTCCGTTACAAGATGCTGTTTCCGCTCAGGAGTAGCGCTTTCACGAGCAATTGATACTCGATGCGCAGAAAGTATCTGAGATCCCCCTGTCCACGGAAAATGCCATGAGAAACAGTCGGAGAGCAAAACGAGAACGAGAAGACTCACGCGGCTCGTTCTATGCAGCGTGCGGCGTCCGCACAGACGCCCCGCCTCCACAGCCGTACTTGGCCATCAGGTCGGCGTGCGCCAGCTCGAAGCGCGTCATCGGCGTGGACGGCGTTGCGGTCTTGCCAGTCTTGGTCTTCTTCGCGCCCTTGATAGGCTTGGGATCGACGCGCGGGACGCTCTGGCCGACGACGCCGAACGAGGACTGAAGCGCAACAAATGCGGCCTCGTAGTTTTTGGGGGAGGTGGATGAGGACGAGGAGGTGGTGCTGTTCACGGTGGAGGACATGGTTAGCGGGAGTGGCACAGTAGGTGGTAGATGGAGAGGCTGAGGCTGAGTGGCTCGAGTGTGGTTCTGTAGCGGTTGTGAGTGAGAGCGGGAGGAGCGCCCCGTTTTATACGCGTCGGAGTCGCTGAGCGCAGTTGCCTGTAGGTGCTGCGCGACAGCTCCGCCGCAGTTGGCCAAGCCTGCGCCCGGCCGCGGCGTACAAGCTATTGTATGTTTTCCAGGCACAATTGGATACGAGGAAGGCCATAGCAGAAATATCGGCCAATCCTCGCGAGAGCAGTGGTGGGGAAGCGAGTGCTGATGGGGCTGTACTTCGAACTTGACATACTATGGACAACCGGAACTTGCCGACCTGCACGTCTCAGAGCAAGTGCATGTCATTCACTCCCCATGGCCCAGAGAATCCTTTACAACCGAATGCCCGCAGGTAATATGCGATGAAGGGAAACACTTCAAGGATCAGGCCAGATACATGCTGAATCGTCTCTCATCGTTTCATGTGTTACACAAGTACAGCAACTTGGTAGATCATTACGTCTTACTCAAACACGGCCACATGACATGCTACACGGCCGCTTAACCCTTCCAGAAGTTGTCGTACGACGCGCTCATGTTGACGCCCTGCACATGGAGCGTGAGAACCCCGTCCGAGAATCAGAAGAAACGTGCACTGACCATGGTGATGTAAGCCACCAGACCCTGCGAAACAACACCGCCGAGGAAATGTGTCTTGAAGACAGGATTGTAGCCGTTCTTGTGCGAGTCGTCGAAGATGTTCAGCGAGTCGCGCCAGTTCCGCGTACGGCCACGGGTGTGGCGGATGGGATTCTCCGAGTAGGGATGCATCTGAATGCCGGATATTAGGCAAGAACCAGGCGGCGAGCCAAGATAACACACCTTATCAACGACCATGTTGACGTCATCCTCGAAAAAGAACTGTCCGACATGCGCCAGGCGACCCGATGCGAACGTGTTGTTCTCAGGGATCACTTCCCACTCCGGGAACACCTTCGTGTGGATGTGGGTGGCGCGGCCGGTGTAGTAGCCGGGGTAGATGGCTACGGGCTAATCAATATCGCGTCTGGCGAGCGAGGCAGGATTGCGTACATGTGAATTGAGCAACACCGTTACGGTCCGTGGCCCACGCCCCGCGAAGCCAGGTTTCCTTCGGCTGGGTCCGTGGGAACGCACTGAGCAGACCACTGCGGCTACCGCCGATCTGAGGCTGCTCGTCGACGAGATGGGGTGCAGGATCGGGGTGTCCTGCGTAGTGGCCAGTGGCATTAGCTAGCCAGATGTCGACCAGAACGTTCGGGACAGGCTTGCATGTCTCAACGTCGATCACGCCGATATCGAGTAACTGAGGTGAACGTGAGCGGAAGATTCGCAATGCGGGAACGGGTGAACGCACGAGCAGAAGCCCATCCTGGTTCTCAGCAATGTTCTGACGGATGGGATGGCCCTGGGTGTGGTAGTACGGTCCCTCAGTAACTTCCGGAGCTTGGAGAGTATTGGTTTTCGAAATTCGGGATGAGAACGAGAGAGCGCACCGAGAACGCAGGTGTTGTTCTCAATATGTGTGTCCTGCACTGTCTGACAGCTCAGGAACTCCTTGTCTGGCCCACCGATCTGTAGCGTCTCCTGCGCGAACAACTCGTCGTAATCTGCTAGGCTCGGCTGCCCGGCGGAGCCCAGAGCCTTTTGCGCGAAGGCACGCTTGCGGGCGGCAGTGAAGTCGCCAACAGCGGGTGCGCACTGCGTCCGAGGAGTGAGCCCAGGACACTGTGCAAGATCCGGGGACTCACGAGGTACGCTGCATCCCGGAGCGCCTTTTCCACCGCCTTCTCTTCCGTGGTTGTGGCCTCCTTGTGGGCCAGGACCGCAGCAATCAGAGGAAGTATAGTCAACACACGCATTATGAAGAGTGTGGAGAATGTGGGGGTGTGCGGAGGAGGATACTCCTTTCCAGAGGGCGGGTGGCGCTCTAAATACTGGGGCGGAATCCGACCCCTTCGGTCAAGCTTCGATCTCTCACGCTTTTGATTGATCGCGGCAATGCTTGCCGAGGACTTGGCATTGAGCAGGAAAAACCTTTCGCACACTTATGGTAGGCCTGGCCCGGCCTGGCACTTCTTTCTCTCCTGCCTGCGATGATCACAACGAAGCCAACAGCCATCTTCGTATCTTCCAATGGTATTGTCGTACATGCAACAACATATTCGCCGCCCTTGAGTGCATACCACCATGAGTAGCAGTGGTATGAAGTGGTAGAGAAGGAAAAACCTGATGTCGTCGCAAGGCGACGAGACATAGAGAACACGTGTTTTACATCACATTCTCCTCAATTCCGTTCTCTTAGACTCTCACCCTCTACTTCACGCTCGTCCAAGACTCCTGCGCAAATTCTGTCGTTCATCATGCAATCCCTGGTGGCTTTGCTTTCCCTCGTTTCCCTCGCCGCTCTTGCAAACGCGCAGGCGACATGGTGCGCAGAGCGTCCGGGTTATGTTGCTGTGCGCTTGTTGACCCGCTCGCCGACAGCAACGTCACGACGAAGTGTCCCGACTTCGCCCCCTGCTGCAGTGAATTTGGATTCTGTGGCTCCACCGAAGCGGTTTGTCGGGAGCGGTTGCGACTAGTGGATCCCGCTGATCCTGTCGCAGTTCTGCCTCGGAGGCTGTAATCCGCTCGACTCGACCTCGCTGGACTCGTGTAAACCGAATCCGGTCTGTTCGAGCGCTGTTGTATGTTCTCCGACCTTTGTACCTGGATCTCGCATGTGACAGGATCCACAGCACACCTTCGTCGACAACTCGCGCGTGCTTAGCAACTCTACATTCTACGACGGCAATGCAAGCTCCTACGGTGCGTCTCATCCGTCTGGGCTCCATCGGGGCGCTGAACTTCCGTCAAGACTGGGTCGTCGAGAGCGGCAACATCATGAACACCAACACGTCTGGAGGCGAGCTCGTCCTGATCCTCACAGAGACCAACGGCGGCACGCGCATATCGAGCACCCGATACTTTCACTACGGTCAAGTCTCCGCTCGGCGTGCGTGTCCACCTGCTCTGTCTGTCGCGCGGTCTGATAGTGCCCATAGTGAAGACCGGGCGATGGGGCGGAACTGTGACCGCTTTCATTACCATGAGCGACGTGAAGGACGAGATCGTGAGTGTGCTGAACGCGGCCTGAGCTCTCGCCTGAGCGCTCTGGTAGGACTGGGAGTTCCCGGGCAACGCCACGACCGCAGCGCAATCGAACTACTTTTGGCAAGGACTGGTCACGAATCCCAATCACGGCAACATCTCCAATGGCCTGTCGGACACGTTTTCCAACTACCACGATTACAGCGTGCGTTTTCTCGTCAAACACTTTGTGAAACAGCGAACTTACGGATCCGCAGATCAACTGGCAACCGGATACGTTGACCTGGTCGATCGATGGCAAAGTCGTGCGAACTCTTAACAAAGCGGACACACTCGTCAATGGCGTATACCAGTACCCGACGACACCAGCCCGGGTGCAACTCAGTCTGTGGCCTGCAGGGACCTCGACCACCTCGGCTGGGACCGTTGAATGTGAGTGTGCTTGTTGTGCAGCCGTCAATCATCCGGGATCCTCATCGGCGCACCAAAGGGTCCGGAGGACTGATCAACTGGAACGACCCTGACTACGTTGCTGCCGGCCACTTCTACGCTCTTGTGTCGTCCGTCAATATCACGTGCAATGATCCGACCCCGCCAGCTGCGGGTGTGACTGGATACACCTATGCTGTGAACAGCTCGACCAACACCCCCGGTGTCTTGTTCACCAACACGTCGACCAACATCAACACTGCTCCCCGGCTGCGGGACATGGCGGCTACTGGGCTGCGCTCGGTTCTTGGCGGTGCGGTCTTGGTCGGGGCTCTCAGTCTGCTCGTATAGATGGACTGTCTGTTGTATATATCAGCGATCTAATCTCTCGTGGAATTATACCCTGCATATGAGCTCGCCTTGCCAAGCGACTTGGGACCAGTCAGAGCACTCTCCACTTCACTCCCATAGCCTGTCGCGCCCGGATCTCGGAACGAACCAACTTGAAACGGCGGCGATGCGACAGTGCCCTTCCCAATGCATGCATCAGTGCATATGCATATACATAGATTGCGATGGAAAGCACATTGCTTGATGGTCTTCTCCCCGCGATTGCTGAGCCCTCGCACGGTCTAGATCTTTCGATGAGCCCCTCGAAAAGATGACAGTGATCGCAAAAGAAGTGCTGCAGGAAGGG